TGCAGGGAGTTCTGCTGAAGGGTTCCATGCTGGGCCTGCACTCTGGGTCTGTTCAGGATCTGCGGGCCCCAGGTCCTCTCACTCACATGCCGGGCCTGCACAGTGGGTCTATTCGGGATTCAGCAGGAAAGGTTTTTCTTTTTTAAAAAAATGTATTTAATATAGGATCTACAGGGTCTTACTACACAGATTGGACTCAACAGTGATCCTCCCGTTTTCAGCCTCACAAGCACTGGGATTACAGGCATGTGCCACCACGCCCAGTCTCAGCTCACCACACAGGTGGAGCTGACATGGCATACAGGGGATGGAACCCCAGCCGCTGTGCTCTGCATAAGAAGGCACTTTATTCCGCTGAGTTATCTGGCCGGCCCTTTCCTGGTTATTTTCTAAAACACTCTCACTGACCACACCTTAAACAATCTGAAAGAGACATTCGCAAGGCAACTTTAGGGCTGACGAGATGGCTTAGCAGACTAAGCACCTGCTTTGGCAAGTGCATGGACTAGGGTTGGCTCCCCAGTCCACATACTGCACTGGAGACACCATAGGGCACGCTGGGCCAGCAAGGGAGTCCAGGTGTGGTGGTGCACACCTGAAATCCCAGCATTTGGGAGGCTGAAAACAGGAGGATCACTACAAGTCTGAGCTGTGTAGTGAGATTGTACTAAATACATTTAAAAGAAAAAATCTTCAAAAATGAAATCTATGGTATCACATACTGGAGAGATACTGGGAAGGCAATAACTGTGGTAGGGCCGAAAGTGGTATCTTCTGCCTTTCCCAGTAACAGATAAAAATCATAAAAACACCCCACTAAACACATTAAGATTTTGAAGCAAACCAGCCTTGTGAAAATGTTTTAAATTTTTATTCCTTTCCCAACCTAATTATACTGGACAAGATACCTTGAAACATACTCCTATTTGTTAATGATCTCGTTTTAAAAGATAGCCTTGGACTGGAAGTACAGGTCTGATACTACACTGATCCAAAGGCCTGTATTTTGACTCCCAGAACAGTAAAAAATAAACCCTCTGTTTCATCAAAAATAAAAAAAAGGAAATCTAAACTAGAAATAAAGATTAAGTTATAAATAGTCACACAGAAATGAGGATTAAACCACAACCCTAGGCCTAAATGGAAATTTAATAAGCACACTAGCCATTTTGGAAGACTATTAAAATTAGACCCCTAACTTACTATTCAAATGGACCAAATATTTGAATATAAAACATCATAAGAGTAAATAAAAATTCATTGTTTTTTTGAGGAATGGTATTGGGAATTGAACTCAGGACCTCCCACTTGCCAGGCAGGAACCACAATGCTAAGCTGTATTTCCAGCCTTCATTCTGTTTTTTTCATCATAATCTTAGATGTTTAAGCATGACAAAAATAATTATGTTGACTACCAGGTGTAGTGGCCTGTGCTCATAGTCCCAACACTAGGGAAGCTGGCACAGGAGGATCTCTTAGTGGTCCCAGGAAGGCTGGGCTGAAATGGAAAAACTGAAGAGAAACATCATTTTAAAACTCCGTTCTTGGGGCCAGGGAGATGGCTCAGTAGAATAAGTTGCCTGACAAGCACGAGGGCATGAGTTCAATCCCCGGTTCTGCCAAAAAAAACCCTCCTTTCTTTTGAAACTGCCTCGCCCTGTAACTGCTTCATGGCTTTGTAATTACTTTCTTGATCCCTGTAACTGCGAGTGTGCAGCCGAACATACAGGCTGGACTGGCTATCCCATTATACTAAGCTTCATAAACTGATGATCATGAATCTACCCCATAACTGATGATCTCACTCCGCTAGCTGACCAGAAGAACTGCCAGGCTGTGCTGTCTCACCTTTGTACCTCCTCTGTACAAAGGTGCATCAAGCCCTGGACCACCAGAGATCAGGGCCTGATATTCTGGGAATGAATCCAATCAGTGCCCACCAATATAAATAAATCTGCTTCCAAATCTTGGGTGTCATTTCATTCTGCTTGTCACTGCAGGTCTACATAGTAAACTGAAGGTTAGCCTGAACTATAAGGCAAGACCCTATCACAAAAAACTAAAAATAATAATAAAAATGAAGAAATATATTGAATAAACAAATAATTACACTGGACAAAGGGGAAAACTGAGGTCAAACTAGACAAATTAGGACATAAATTCATCCATCCTACCCATGAATTATTGAGTTGTAAATCACAGATTAAAAATCCAAGAATTGTGGAAGACCTAGTACTATTATGGACTACTAGACTATTTTGGAATATTTTGCTGAGTTCACACACCTATAATATTTAAATGATGGAACTAAACAAGAAAAGGGGATATAGATGAATGACCATTTTATATCTGTGTATTCAAAATGGTTAGGATAGATATATAGCTACAATCTCTTAATTCAAGGAATAGAGGGATTTGTTCTAATTGTGTTTGTAAATAGGATATCATGTCTTCATCTTGTACAACAAATAACCACTAGGAAGGCAGTATGCAATGTGTTAATTATTGGGACTGTCCTACTAATTTGATTTGAAACTGTCTCATTGCTATTTATTTCTCAATAAAATTATGGAAAAAAAAATTTTTAAAATCCAAGAATTATGCAACACAAGTTTAATGAAAATTAGGTCCCAAAAGTCTTTTACAACAGTGTTTTCAATCACCTGTAACAATCAGTACTATCAAGTTTTTTTGAAACCTTACATCTCTGGGTCCTCCCTAAGAAGATTCTGATTCATTTCAGTGTGGTCAATATGTTGGTTTTGTTCATTAGATGATATCCTCATCCACAGCTAATTTTCACGTGCACCTCAAGCAAGAAGTGCTACAAGATATGTCTCGAATATTGGCCTGAATATGAATTACCTGGGATTTACTTTACTTTAATTTTACCTTACTTAGTAAAGTAAAATTATCTTTGAATAAATGAGGCCAGGTCACAATGACTGGCCTGCCAGTCTTCAAATCGTGTTACTCAGAGGTCATATCTTACTTACCCCCACTAACTCTTCAAAACTGAAAAAATGCCCCCAAGTGAATGGAGAAACACACTTTTTGCAATGGACATTAGATACACTAAGCCAGGGGTGGGGTAGCAATCTGTTACTCTTCTTAATTTAAGCTAAACAACGTAATTTTTAACATCTGCTCAGCAATCAAAATGAAAACTTAATGAACTAAATGAAACAATAGGAATATGTAAGTTAGAGTAATTTAAAAGCTTCTGCTAAATTGGGATATAAAGAGATTATATAGGGTAAAAATTTTCAATAATATTTTTCTATCTCCCAGAACTGGAAGGAAAAATAAACAAGAAAACTTCTAACATATAGGAAGAATTCAGGCAAGGGAGTCAATCTGAGTTATTACTAAGTCCCATGAAGGGAAAATGTTTTCAACCTTCGCTCTTTCTTTATACAAACTTTACTTTTTATATCATGATAGAACTTTCCTTTTGCAATGTAAATATCATAAGCAGCTATTAAGAGTCTAGTCAGGGGACCGGGGAGATAGCTCAGTAGATTAAGTGCTTGCCACAAGGGCCTGAGTTCAATCCCCGGTTCCGCAAAACAAAAGTCTAGCCAGTAAACTTCATTATGCTAAAATGGTGGGGTCAAGCTGCTCATTATTACAATTAAATTTAAGTAAGAAAAAGAATGTTTATTAAAAGAAGTTTCAGGGCTGGTGAGATGGCTCAGTGGTCTAAAGCACCTACTTAGAACAAGCTGAACAAAGCAAAGGGACCACGGTTCAATCCCCCAGCACCACATGCCAGTCAGCCCTGCCCCCTGGTGGGCTGAGCTGGCCACACACATACATACATACACACACACACACACACACACACACACACACACACACAAATAAATTAATTAATTAATTAAAAAATAAAAGAAGTTTCAGGATGTCAAAGTCACCTGTCTCAGAAAGTTCCACCCCTAATTTGTTAAGCAAACAAGGCTCAAATCGAAGATTCCTGTTGAAATAAAATCTAGACAAATGTCATTGCAAAATAAATATCCTGACATAATAGATGACATAAGAGTTGCACTTACAAGCCTACTGCTCTTAAACAAAAGCCTCGACCTTAACAAGCACTGGGTCATCCTCTTTGTATTTGTCTTTTTTTTTTTAATTTTTTTATTTTTTTTTATTTTGTATTTGTCTTAAACCTGGATATAAGATAAAATTCCCTACTCTCTCCCTCCACTAAATTTATACCTCATTAACTATGTTAAGCTAATTACTCAATTTTTACTCATTATATCTAATGAGAGTAATTAGTAATTTTAATGTAAGATTATACTTATTTATAAAAATCTAATTTTGTATGATTTTAGGAGTTTATTTTGTCATCTACCTAACAAGGTACTACATAAAGCCAAATATGTCAGTACTGATCTCTGCTGTAGCTCCAGTATCGAATATTTCAATAATTAGGTACCCCAGTAGTAACAGGTAATAGTAGTAGCTTAGGCAGCTGAATGAAAAAATGTCTAAAACATAGTACTCAACTAAATTATTTTTAACATGAAAAGATTTTCTAATTTCTTTTTTACTAGATACAAAATTATCCCTAAAAAATAATCAATACTTATTTATAATAAACAGAACTAAAGAGATGGCAATCTCTGGTCTAGAACACTGAAATTGTGCATTAATTCATCTAAAAAAAAAAAAAAATTAAAAGCCTCACCATTTCTAAATGTCTCTAGGGACTCCTCTGTAGAGTTTCTCTGGTCTTCTTTCTCCAGATTTTCACTGGCCTTCGACAGCCGCTTTCTTGGAGACATCTCTTTACCCACCATTGCACTGTCTAGGAGAGAAAATGTAAAAAGTGTTCAACAATAGTTAGAAGAAAAATTCTGAATGTTCCAAACCAAAAAAAGGTATAAATTGGATGGATGGGTGAATGGATAATTTTTTTTTTCTTCTGAGACAAGGTCTCACTATGTAGTTCAGGCGGGCTCAGAATTTACTTTGTAGCCCAGGCTGGCCTCAAACTCACAGTAATCCTCCTGCCTCAGCCTGAGTACTGAGATTACAGCCATGCAAGATCACACAAGACCTTGCTTAGTAGCAATGCCTATTTAAAATGGATGGATTGGGCTGGTGAGATGGCTCAGTGGTCTAAAGCACCTACTTAGAACAAGCTAAGCAAAGCACAGGGACCGCGGTTCAATCCCCCAGCACCACATGCCAGCCAGCCCCATCCCCTGGTGGGCTGAACTGGCCACACACACACAAAATAAATAAATAAATAAATAAATAGAAATTTAAAAAAATAAAATGGATGAATAAGCTATCTAAATTTGATTATCACACAGCATGTATATATATATATATATATAAAAACAGTATTCCATAAGTCTAACTGTTAAATAGCATTCAAAAGTTTTAAAATAGGTCTGGGAATATACCTCAGAGAATATACCGCATTTATTTTTGTTTTCAGACCAGAGATCAAACTCAGGACCTTGCATTTGACAGGCAGGTGCTTATACCTCTAAGCTATCTCTCCAGCCCTATATACCATGCTTGCTACTACGTGTAAGGACTTGGGTTCAATCCTAGCACCATCAAAAAGGAAAGGAAAAATTTAAATTAAGAAAAGCTTTGAACATCATTAGTCATTTGAGAAATGCAAATTAAAACAACACTGAGATTCCATTTCACTCCAGAAAGAAATTGGCTATCATCAAGAAATCAACCAATAACAAATGCTTGCTAGCAAGGCTATGGGGAAAAGGAACCCTCCTCCACTGTTGCTGAGTGTAAACTGATACAACCATTAAGGAAATCAGTATGGAGATGTCTCAAAAATCTAAAACTAGAGGCTCTATTAGACCCAGCTATTCCCCTTCTAGGTATCTTCCAGGAAGAGTTAATGTCATGCCACAGTGATATTATACACAGCCATGTTTATAAGCAACACAATTTGTAATAGGAGGGCCAGCCAGACAGCTCAGCACATTAAAGTGCCTGCTTAGGCAGACAGAGACCAGGGTTTGATCCTGTGTGCCATGCTGGCCCCACCCCCGCAGTGCGGATGAGACAGCAACTGAGACTAGGCATGGTAGCACGCTCCTGTAATCCCAGTGCTTGGGAGGCTGAAAAACAGAAGGATCACTACAAGTCCAATCTGTGTAGTGAGACCCTGTAGACCTTGTACTAAATACACTAAA